ATAAATACTATCTTCAGTACGAGATTAATAAAATTATATTTTTATTTACTTCACTTTTGAATTTGTATGATAATTATGCATAGATGCATACTTAAATCTTAATACAAAAAATTATATTATCTTATACTTTTTGGTAGTTATTTTTTTTCAAATTTTATGAAATAAATAAAAATTAAAATATATGAATGTTTAATAAATCATAAAAATATATTTTATTGCTTATGTTGATCATAAATGAAAGAAAATAAATACATATAGTGATTTAACACATGTAATTATTATTTTAACTTACTCGTAAAGTTTATTTTCTTATAATTTTTGCATTACATCTTAATGAAAATAACAATAATTTAATAGTATTTATTTAATTTAATTTTTTGCATGATTAATCAATAAATATATATTGTATTACATTTTTAAAATTTTACGTTTGTTTTTTAGTTACTCTTTTAAAATGGTAAATGGATTAAAAGTGCATTAATTTCAAAAACAAATATTTTAAAACACATTCTATTAGTTCTATACATCATAAATAGAGAAAAATAAGTATTTGCACATGATATAAGACAATTAATCACTGTTTGAAGTTTATCAATTTTTACCAAGTTTTAATATTTTTTAATAATACTTATTTAAGTTAATCTTTTCATAATAATATCATACTATACTTAAATAAATATACATTATATCATAATGCCATAATTTTCTTCTCTAAATTTATAAAACAAAGTACAACTAAAAGTACATGAATTTTTTATTAAACATAAAAATTTACTATTTAATTCAAATAAAAAGAGAGAAAGAAAATTATTAAACACATTAACTAACTGAAGGAGGTCGTTTCAGCTTAAATTATGGTCTTGAATTTGAGTTTTTATAAATGTAACTGTATTAACTGTTCAGTCAAAAAAAATTGTTAACTATAATAATTTTGCCCCAATTAAAAAATATTATTTAAATAAAAAATGCCTATAGTCTAAAAAAAAGAAAATTTTCAATAAACAAAAAAATAACTTATTTAATTAAAAAAAGAAGATGAAAGAAGAAAAATAAACAAATTTATTATCATATATTTATGATGGTTAAATACATCTATTAATTTAAGAAGAATTTTATCTAATTAATTATAAAATTTCTCTCTTTAGTGAATCTCCTCACCTTTGGATGAGTGAGTTAAAGTCGAGTGAAAAAGAGATTTTAAACTCATCTTTTATTTTTAAAACATTGAATCAAATATAAAATAATTCTCTCTTCCATTTCTTTCTAACCTAACACTGTATTATACTAGATGATTAATTATACTATACATAAATAGAAAAAAGGTATATTTATTGATATAATACAATTAGCTAGTATTCTAGTTTTATTAGGTTTTTATCTTATTCTTACCAGTTTTAGAGTAAAGTATATGATTTTATTTTTATAGTAATATATACTTTTTCTTAAATTGGAAAAGCAAACAACATTAAAAGTGCATCAAATATTTTTAAATCATAAATGTATATTTTATTACATACATCAATGATAAATACAAAATGTGCATTAACAACAATATAAATATATTTTTTATATTTATATTCAGGTTAAAAATGTTGAGAATTATAATTTGTTCCATACATAACCCAACACAAATAAATAGCAGTAATTCATGAATTTGTTAATATTAAAAGAAAGTTTTACTTTTAGTTGTTGAATTGAAATTGAAATTGAAATTCCCATTACATTTGTTATAATAAAATAATAAGTATCTTTTACATTATACAGGTACTTTTGACAAAAAAAAGTATTGAAAAAGATAAACTTTATTTTAGTTATATTTATACATTTTAAAGTTTTATTATTTAAGGTCAAATATCACGAATTGACTCCTCAAGTTTAAAGAGTTTATGATGAATTTACACTTGCAATTTATGATTTTTACTTTCTTGCTATTTGTCTAGACCAGATATTAATTTTGACAAGTTCGGGTTTTCAAAATTAAATCCTATGTGTTTTGAGGACAGATTCTTATAATTTGGATTATCTCAGCCTAGTCTTGATATATTTTTGGTTTAAAACTTACATATTTTTAAGCAATTATATACTAGAAATAAAAGTTCAAGACTTAATAGATAATATTTTGTATAACAATATTATATTTATATTAATATTAATATTTGTTGTTTATAAGTATGAGATAATTCTGTTCAAATCAAGAAAAATGATCTTGTAAAATTTTTTATTTAGATAAATGCAGATTTTTTTTTTCCCAACTCGTTGTATGTATACCCTTATTTGATAAAGGAAAATGTGAAAAATGCAGTGTAAAAATAAAATATTGATTTAATGGCGTGAAATTAAGGCAATAACAGCTGAAAAAAGATTTAACAATTCATTGGCATTGGATTTTGACAAAACTTTTTAGACTTTGATATAGGCACGTTTGCTCTTTAATGGCACAGTATATGTATAGGGCAATTACAATGTGATATCATTCGTGGAATTGTATGTAACCAGGTCTTTTTAAATTTTCTATTTTTAGATCAATTAGGATTTATATTTTTAATTTGTTGAAATTTCCTTATTCCCTTTTCCGTAATTCAATGATTGTTTTTTGAACTTCTATTGCATGTCATAGGATTTTGTTTTGTTTTTTTTTTCAAAAGGTAAAGCATTTGGAAGAGGTGGATGAACGAATCATAGAGTTTGAAAGCAAAATCCACCGTTATATGATGATGCTTCTTAGTCTAATTACTAAATGTACATTAAAATAAACTATTGCCTTTGTTCATTTTTTCTGCCTACTCCTTTTGTTCAAACCTTATAATAAATGGATGAATCCCATTTCAGTGGAATACGACCATAAATATATGCCTTATTTTACTTTGTGGGTTGAAATTGTGGAATATATGGGCGTGGAAATAAACCAATCCAACCTTTAAGAAAAACATCTTAAATGGGTTGTATAGTTCTTACATATAAAACTACTATTTAATATAGATGTATGCTTTTTATAGGTTTATCTAATGTTAATGAAAAAAAACAGCTCTTCTTATTTGTCTTTAATTTTATGACTGCTAATTTACATTAAGATATTCATATTCATGAATGAATCTGTGGACTATATATGGGCGTTTAAAAAATATTTAAATGTTTGATATATGACCTTTCTAACTAAGCATAGTTTTAAAAATTCTTTATTTGACTTGTATAATAACCAAGTTGGGTTGTAGCTTCTCTCACATTACTTGTTCATTTTTTAATTAATAAAACCCAATGCAACTAATAATGGATGATAAGGTTTTTCAATGTTTAGACCAAGGTCTAGCTTCTGATTGTATATGTGGAAAATAATATGGCTAGATAAGGAAACTTCCCTCTATTAATTTCCACACTTTAAATTAGTTTTTAGGTATCACATGGTGAGATACCTTAATACATCCAAACACGTACATATACATATGTCATAGATTAAATTGTATCGGTTCTAAGTTATACTTTTTTATATAATTTAATAATCATTTATTAATTTTATTTTAAAATTAATTATTAAATTAAAATTTAATTCTGTGTCGAGTTAAAATGTAATTTAACGTATGACTCGGTCTAAGTTTATCATAAAAATAATTCGTACTCTTAAAAGTCACTGTAAAAAAAAAAAAAACAGCCCTAAACCCTAAATATCTAACTTGCTCCGTTGTGCTTATGATAAAGAGTTATATTATAATTAGCCTTTACATAAGTTAATTAAGTCACTGTAAAATTATATATATATATATATATATATATATATATATATATATATATATATATATATATATTAGACTTTGTTAAAAAAATGTACATACTTCAATTATTTATTATTTTTAAAATAATTTTAATTAATTATTAATAAAAAAAATACCCTAAATATGTACAATATTAGCCCTTATATGCCCACCTCTCGTGTTAAATGAAGAGTTTGAATACAGTGTATTGGCCAAGCGAAAGAGATTAAATCAGATACATGAAATATACTAAATTACACATTATTATTAATTTTTAACCAGTGAGTTAATGTTTTCGATTCATATTACATTTTGCTTATGCAGTTATTGTCGATGATATTCTTTTTATATATTTATTAATTTAAGAGAGATTAATTTTATTCATAATTTTTTGTTAACAAATTATAAGGTTTATTAATGCTTTTGATTGTCAAAATTCTTCAATAAATTTGTCATTTCAAATTTAAAAGATTTTTTATTAGATTAAATTAAATTTTAAATTCAATTAAGTCTAATTCAAACTGACCTTATACACTCAAATACAACTTCGTTCATAAAATTGTCGCAAAACTCAGAGTAATATAATTAGAAAATTTAAACATCGTTACAGCAGTTTTATTAAGGTGTACATTAGTTTTATTTCAATACTCATTCCTTAAAGCAGTTTTCCAGTTTATTTGAACAAATATTTATAAATTAAAAGTCATAATTAATAATTTAAATTAACTTTTTATTACAATTATATACATTTCTAGTTTTGTTTATTATTAATTGCATGCATGAAAGTAAATACATAAAAATAAAATCGTTCATTTCAATCTAAGCTGTTTTTAATTAAAACAGGCTAAATAATTTTAAATATTACATTTAAAACAACAAAAATCAAACTACAACCACTTCTGATAGTAAGTGCATTGTAATATAATTAATCAAATTATTTATTTTGAAATTCTTAATTGGACTCTTATCTTATTTCTAAGCTGATAAATAAATAAAAAATATAGGAGTACTTCAATTAATTATAGACACTATTTTAAATGGCGATACAAATTTCAAAACATGAGCAAATCACTGATGATGTTAAACACAAAATCATAGTTGGAGTCAACAACACCGAGCCACAAAGTCAACAAATGAGCATTATATTATATCTATTCAATTTCTTTGGTGCCTAAAAGAAAAAAGTAAATTAATCGCTCCCAAACGCTTCCTTTTGTTTTACTTTATTTTAGGTCCAAACTCCGATCTTCTTCATCCTCCACATGAACTCGCCGGAGTTTCCAGCCGGCGGAACCCCACCGTCGAAGAAAGAGCTTCAAATACAAGGCCCACGCCCTCCTCCTCTCAAAGTCAGCAAAGTATCCCACAAAATCAAGAAGCCGCCACTGCCTCCGCCGCCACCGATCGCACACCATCACGCGCCGCCGGAACAACAACAACGGGAACCCGTGATAATCTACTCCGTGTCTCCCAAAGTAATCCACGTCACCCCTGGCGACTTCATGGACGTCGTGCAGCGGCTCACCGGAGCCTCCTCCGACGAGCCCTCAGCCGGACGAGGAGACTTGTCGCCGGCGGCGAGACTGGCCTCAATCGAGAAGACAAGTCCCTCGGAGAAGGAAAGAGAAAGGGTTTTTCAGAGCGGAGATGATGATATGATGTTGATGTTGGGAGAAGGAGTGGAAATGGGTCAATTTCCCGGTATATTGTCGCCGGAGCCGGGAACCTTGCCGCCGATTCCCCCGGAAGTGTTTTCGCCGGTGAGTGAGGCTCAAACAGTGTCGTATTTGAACGATTTTTGGTCAGCGAGTAGCTTCATGGCGAGTCCTTCGGGTTTTCTTTCCGTAGCCGTGGTTTCTCCGCAACCGTCACCGAACTTGTTCAGCCTATTCGATTATTAGGTTCCTTTTTCTCTTTCTTTTTTGAATTTGTTTTGACGATTGGCATTCAGAATTTAGAAGAATTGCTAGCTATATATTTTTTTATCACACATTTTTATTATAAAAATCATGTGAATGTCACTTTTAAAATAGTATTTTTTTCTTTTATATTTTTTGAATTTTAATAAGTTTTAATTAACAATGAAGAATATGTTACTAGAGTGAGAAAAGTAAGATCTATGTGATTTTTATAATTTTTGTGTTACAAAGTTATGTAGAGGGTTGCTGGTTTCTCTTCAAAGTTTAACATTAATGGGTGTTCTTGTCCCACGGTTTTTGTACAGTTTGTAGAAATGAAAAAAAGATAAAAAAAAAGACCAATGTATAAACACACAAAAGTTATGCATATCGCGTCAGAACTGAGTGAGCATTCAACTAAATCCAGTAAACCTAAGAGGTCAATTGATTAATTTATAATTATAAGCAACATTTTATTTCGTATGAGCCGCCAAATTATATTTTCATTAGTTTGGATTCCACTTCCTCATAAAGTTACTGGAATGATAGTATTTATCAAGCAAAATGAATTTAGAAAAGTTTTTATAAAAATTAATATAAAAAATTAAATTAAATTAAATTTATTAAAAGTAATATATGTTTTTCTATTATAAATATTTTTAATTTATGAATTTTTTCGTAAAAGTTTATCCAAACTGAGCTTTTTTATATATTTTTAAATAATTTTTTAAAGTTTATAAACGCTGTAATTAGGTTTTAATGTTTTTCTTTTAAAAAAATTAAATAATCTTTACTGTGTTAAAATTTTGTTGATTTAGATTAAATTCTAAAGAATTATTTGATACAATACACAATTCTTTGTAGTTTATTGAACATTGATAGTAATAAGATTTCTAAAAAAGATGTAAACTGTAAAAGGTTTTAAACTAATTTGAACGAAAATAAATTAAACGCAAACAGCACAAAAGCATGTTTAGCATACTTATTTTTTAACCACTTTTTAAAAATATTCTTAAGAAGTTATAAAATGCAACTGTTCTCTCAAAATAAACTAATTGAAAAAGACAATAAAGCACCTATACGTAAAAAATATATTAACAATCTACCTATTTTGTAAAATGAAATCAACAAAGTCACCAACAATAAAACACACAGAATCCAGAGAGCAGTGCGTTGCCAATAAATTTTTTTTTTCTATCTCTCTTATATGTATGAAAAATTAAAACAATCTTATTATAAGAATATTGTTTCTCAAAAATAGAACTTTTTTTTTTCAAATGTCTTAATGTGCATTTGAATTGATGTTAAAAATTATATAATAATGGATTTAATACAAAATTTATAATTAATAACATTTAAAATAAACATGCCAACAAAATTATCATCCACTTCAACACTCAACTTTTCAATAGATAAATTAGCTTGCATTTGATCATTTAATTTTCTTTAGTTACGTAAAATTATGAAGTAAATCTTCATTTTAATCATTAAAATTTTCTATGTTGTGTAAATTAATTTCTTACATTTATAATTTTAAATATTAATTCTTAAGATTTAGAAGTATCAATCATTTTAGTTCTTATAAAAAAAAGTTAAAATATGATAACAATATAATAATATATTTTTTTAAGTAACATGTTGGAGATCCGGATCCCCTCATGTTTCAGCCTAAATATAAGGGTTATATTAGTTTATTTTTACATTTTAAGATTTTTGTATTTTTGCTTAAAATGTAAAAATAAACTAACATGACCCTTGTGTTACAGGAGAAAATCCTTTCTCATGTGTTAGAGTTTACCTTAACACAAAATGACATCAATTTTCTATTAATAGTTCATTTTGTCCTTAATTATTAATATTAAGGTATTTTGATATTTTTTCTTCTTCTTTCCGATAGTTATCCCTTGTTACAACTTATCAGTGTCAAGTTTAAGGAAGGAATTATCAACGATACATCTAACAGAGACACGAGTATCTCTTTCACACTTTTAATGAGATCCTTAGTTATAAACCCTAACATCATGACTTCAAAGATTTTTAATGTGATGAAAATCAACAAGAAAGATGAAGAAAGTAAGAAATAAAGAGATGAATTTTTTATAATGATTTGAAAGTTATATGATAAGGTTAGAAACAAAGAAAGTCCAAAAAAAAAAAAAGGTCATTAGTAACAACAATGTTGAAGGCACTTGCAAATGTGGAAGAGAAGAATCCAAGGCTAATATCTTGTGTTTTAATTGAAAATTATAAAGATTATGACCTATTTCAATCTATGTTAACTCAATCCTTATTTTTATCTATATTTTGGACAACAAAATTTATGTTTTAATTAGATGATTTATTATGTTTTAGATTAATGAGCTTAATCATATTAGTTATTAAATTTTTTTAAAGTTTTATATTTTATTATATTTATTGTGCTTGGTTATTAAAGTCTTTTAGAATTTTTACTTAAATTATCGTTATTAAGTTAAGCCATTAGTCTATTAGTGTTTCACTTTTCATTATAAATACTCATATAAAATTTATTTAAGAGACAAATTTAGTTTTAAATAAAAATTGAAGATTACTCTTTAATAGAGTTTGTGTGCCTCTTAAGGTTCTTTAAAAAGAACTATTACTTAGATATTAGTAAGAGTTCTTTATAACTCGTGTAGCAATTCTATAATAAAACTTATCATTATTTATTTTTTGTTGTAATGATAAATTTTTTCATTCAAAACTTTCAAGGTCAACTACTTCCAAACTTCGCTATGTTTCAAACTTCACCGGTAATTCTTTTAAATTTAATTGTTTTAATAATATATTATATACAAATTATATGACAATTTAAATTTTTAACTTATTCTTAATTACTACATTTCAGGTGTCTGATCAAGGAAGTGCACAACTAACTAATGTGATTGATATTATCCTCTTCAAATTCTCCAGCTGAAAAGTAGTTCTCTTAGGGATTATAGTAGTAGTTCATCTATGAATAAAAGACATGACATGTTTTATTTTAATTAGAATATTATTATAAGTGTGTATTATGAGATCTTTATGTATGACTTTTGATTTTATATAAGTGTTTGTGATTTTTAAAATTTGTTATGTTTATCAATTAAAGGAAATTATTTGATTTTTATGTAATATTATATAATATGCAGGTAAATTAAAAATAAGCTCAATTTTAATTATCCAAATTTTATATATTTTAGCACATGCATTTAACTGGGGGTTTAAAACTGGCAATTTTGGTAAATTAACGGGAGTTTCAAAATTGCAGGTATTTAATGAGACTTTCAAACTACGGGTAATTTACACGAAATTTAATGGAAGTTTAAAAATCGCAAGTATTTAATGATGTTTACCAAACCCAATGTAACAAACAAGGGTTGCTGAATCGCGGGTATTTACTAATGGTTAGTGAACTGCAAGTAATTAACGATGGTTAATGAACCGCAGGTAATTAAAAATGATTAATGAATCGCAAGTAATTAATAATGGTTAGTAAACTGAAAGTAATTAACGATGGTTAATGAACCGCAAGTGATTAAAGATGATTAATGAACCGCAGGTAATTAATGATGGTTAATAAACCGCAGGTAATTAACGACATTTATCAGAAATCATTGTTAATTAATAGAGATTTGTATAACTAAAAAATATTAAAATTACCTGCGATTGTTCAAAATTGTCTGTAATTTATTTGTCACGCTTAATTAACTATGGTTTTGTCAACCGTGAGTAACATCATTTACGATGGTTTAAACCCTTATTAATGTCATAATTAACCATGAATAAACCATTATTTTCCTGTAGTGTGAATTGAGTTTGTAACATTTTTTTTTCTTCTCTTTTCTATCTTTTTTATTTTTCTTAGTTGTTACATTTTATCTTAATTTTTATTCAAATTATCTTACAATGTATGAATAATTTTCTGGTAGTTCTTGACAATGTTTTGTGTTTTAAAATATTATTTTTCACCTCATTTTAGTAACATTAAAATTTGAAGTGATCTACGCAGTAAGAAAACTTTGACGTTCAAATAATAATTTCAACCTACTAACACATGCACACAAAAAAAACTCATGGTTCCCTATCCAATTCCAATGCACGGTCACTCTTGATTTGATGAAAGATCCTATGACATTGTCAACGAGAATAACCTACTTCTGATAAAGCATTAGAAAGTAGATTGATGAAATATCCTCTAATACTATCCAACTTTGATATAATTCGAAAATTGCATCTCCATTTAATACAGCTGACGAGTCTTTCCTTAGGCACGACACTCTAATGAGTTAAAAAAAGGGATAACCATTGGAAAAAAAGAGAATTACATGCTTATGTGTAAAAATCTCAATAATTAAGGATAAAGATAAACTATTAATTAAAGATCTTAAAATAATGTCATTTTGTGTTTAAAGTGGACTTTAATAAATTATTTAACATTATAAATTATCATTCTGTTATTATATTTTAACGTTTTTTTTATAACAAGAAGTAAAATAATAAACACCTTTTAATTTTAATGGCTAATATTTAAAATTATAAATGTGAGAAACTAATTTGCACAATGTTAAAATTTTAGGGACTACAAAATTTACTCTAAAATTGTGGGAGCAATACGTTTCCCAATTTTAATCTCAATGAATGGAAGGCCAAAAGTTTTCCAAATGTAACTTCATGGATTAAACATTAAGCCTTAGGTCATATAACTACTGTGACTAACATCCTTTGATCATCCTGTTTTGTGAAAACGAACAAGAGGCTTGCAATTCACATTATCAAATGCTCAAGTCTTGATTCATCTTTAGACAAGTCATCAACAAAAAGGAAGGGAATAATCCAGAGTTTAAAGTTTTGTGAAACATGAAATGTAAAGGACAGAGTTGAAACCCTGTCAAATGTAAAAACCACAACCCTATCCCTCTCCCCAAATCCCTACTCCCTCTCCTGGACAAAAAAAATAAAAGTTTTGTAAGATGATATGTACGACAATGTTTTAAAATAAAAGAGCAACACTATTGTACCAAATAGCAATCCAACCTAGAAAATCTAATTTGATTGGTCTTTGTTATTTATATAAATTTATTCCTTTCGAAGTTTTGCACAAGTTTATTCCAATATTTTTTTTTAAGTTTATACGATGTAACAATTTGATCCTAGAAAGGAAATATGGAACCAAAAAAATTCCTAAAAGGAAATGATTAGATTTTTGTAACTGTAAGGTTAGCACCACATTGTGGGTCAGAAATCATGAACCATTTATGTGACCTTACATTAAATGCTCTCAGAAGTTCTCTTCTTTGTCCCCAATACAATGGGTTGGCCCATAATAATTTTGTCTGGAGCCCTATATTTCCTATGTAGAACTCCCAAAAGATACTATCTGTGATCCGATCTGAGATTTCATACAGTTGACACGGCAGATTCAGAACCCAACTACTATTCTGTTCAAAGGATTACTTGGACTGAATATTCCCACTTCTTGGCTTTGGTTTGAAAACACCCCACAAATAATACTTGTCACAAATTCCTGGAAAATTAGATAAGTCAATGAATCAAAAACTTTCATAACAAAATTTCTAAATTTACAGCAAAAGCATTAAATTTCTGACATACGCCTATCATTTGGGGGTAATAAATATGAAGAAAAAATGAGGAGCTCCACGGTGTCAATGACTGCCTTGAGAGCAAGTTCTTTTTCAATTACATCATTCAACACAGCATCAAAGACCGTCTCATCCCTAATTGAAGAGAATATTCGAAATCAAGGGAAGCCTAGAACATTACATTGCCAATCAGTATGCAGAATATAATACGCTGAAGAAGCATACCCTTCATACTGGGGGAAAAAATAGAGACCAATACTATCACCATTAGGAGGAAACATGTCAAAACTCTCGGGCCAAATAGCGTATCTCAATAACATCTCCACATCAAGCAGTCTAGGAAGCGTTGTTACTGTTGAATGCACTTTTGGGGAAGCTTCGCTTGATGCATAAGCAACACATCCAATATTTGTTGCGTTGTTCAACATAAATTGCCCCCTATAAATGGAAAAAAGAAGTAATGTGTATATATATAGAAAATAAGGTGCATATAATAACCTGTAATTCAACAATATTATTTGAGACCATTACATCAATTAAGTATAGTGGATTTGCCTAAAGTTTAACAGCAACTTCAACACACAGAATAAGTAAAAGCTCTCACGTCCAAACTGGATCATTAAGTGGGTGAGCAAGGCTATGCTTGTCAAACTCCGGATAGTACATGCGCTGAGACGTTAAGGCTTCAGAATCAACATATTTCTCATGTTCCAATTCTTGATTATTCAAAGGACCTTTACGTGATTCAGGTTCCTCAAAATGACTGTTCTTCTCTTCAAGGATCAGCTGTCTCTTGTCAATGTTATTTTTTCTAAGGCATTCAGCATGAAAACCATCAGATGATCCGACAGATTTTGGTTTTCTAACCGCAATAATCTCCTTTTGCATTTTCATCCTGTTATATTTAGCTTCAGCTGCATAACTTATGCGTGTGCTTTTTCTTAATTGTTCAGATCCATATTTGGGATCGTTTGGAGCACAGTCCTCACATTTCCAGCTAACCGTTCCATCATCTTCTCTGTGGAACTTCTCTAGACAATAACTGTAAATAAACTAATTGTTAAGCATATTTTACATAAATCAAGGTAGACAACATCTTAGGTTCCAGTTTTATCATGGCAAGAGCCAATTTGGGAGCACCTCCATTTCTGTATTTGAAACTCCTAAGAATTGCGGCTCTAATCAGACCGCACATCACCATATAAACTGGTGCAGTGAAAATTAAATCATAATAACAAGAAATAGTAAGCTCCTTAATAAGAGTACTACTTAACTGTACGCATATACAAATATTAAGCATAGATGTTGTATGCACCTAGTTTGTTACATATAATCTTGGGAACTTCAAAGGGATAGTGAACTATGTGCTAGCTAGTCATTTGAATTTTGCAAATGCAGCAGCAATCTCTAGATTCAATCTTTTCCCTTATGAAGTAATAGTAAATCTCAATTTCACCAGTCCCTTCACAAAATAAATGATTGGATGTTATATGTAGACAAGCTTGATGATCAAATATAAGCTTCACCAATTGTGATCCACATAGTTTCACCTTTTTTAACTATTTCCTTGACCATAAGAGTTCACATGCTAAAGTTCCCTTTGTTTCATACTCATTGGGAACTGCAATATCTGAATTCAGACTGTTAAGATAGTTACTCAAAAATTGTAGCCCCCTTTGCTTGATATTTAATGAGAATACCAACATTTGAACTCCTACAGTTAAAATAGTTACTAAACAAAGGATTGAAAATATGAATCATAACCAAAGAAGCTCATGTGTTATAATCTAATTCTATGCATATAGCTTCTCATCTAGTCTTTCGTTAAACAACCAAGCAAATTGATAGTGTTGGTAGATTTATAATGGAAAAAACAACTCTTGAGAAATTCCAACTGCCAGTGTGATAACTTGGCAGATATTCTTTGCTAACTCTTCAAATTAACTAATGTTTCAAGATTAAATTATATAATATACATGCTCCAGCTTGAGGACATGTTAGAAAATATATTGTATGTGAACGGTCAAGTAGGTCATTGGTCATCTAATTAGTTCACCAGTTACAATTTTTAAATTTTCCTTATTTAATTTCAAATTAACACATTCTACCTCATTAGAATGTCAGCCTCAATATTTTTTATTTATTTTTAACCTTTTTTGGGAAAAAGAAATGCTAATAATACACTTTCTAATACACTATTTATTATTGACTGAAATTTATTGATAATCACAAAAATTATGTGGATCCCTTTCTAAATTTACTAACTCGTACTCAATTTTATAATTTTCAATAAATTTTAACCAACACTCAAGAATATGTTAAAAAGTGTATTGTTAGCACTCCTCATGAGGATTATTGTTGAAAACTAGACAGTGACCATGACTTCCTACATCTTTTTGGTATATAAATATTGGAGAGATGAAGAAACTGAAGTCAAATTCTGTTATATTTCATATAATGTGATAGATAATACTCTAACAAACCAAATGGTGCTACCTAATAACCAAGACATAAAAAGTTTATATTTGTAAATTTTTGTTGCAACAATGGTATAATATGTTCTTGTTTAATAACAGTATAAAGAGCTTTACATCAACATTGGATCAAATTGAAAATTTATTAATACATAGATATCTTCTTTTATGATAACATATATATCGACAACACACTTTCAGGTGAACAAATTTCGTAGATCTCAAAAGCCAAATTGGATATATAGAATTTCAATTATTTATCCAAAACCTAATCAAAGTATTGTCAATGATTTAAAAGTGTCAATGACAACTCACGCATACATACCTATGCTCAGCACAAGCTTTACACTGGACACAGTATATGAGGCGCTTTAAATCTCCTTTATCACCACATATTTGACAAATATTTATCTGTAAAGTTCATTGAAAAAATTATGGACACATTCTCATACTAGGTCATGAAACAAACAAGCAATAAATTGAAAACTTCTTAAGATAACGGAAAAATATTGCTATTTAATGGCCATTGATGAATTCTCACTAAAGTGAACTTTGAGATAAAAGAACCATTAAAAACAAATAGCAAAGTATATATATAGAAAGGGTCCTGTCAACATTTTCTCTTAAGAGCATATATATATAGAAAGGTCCTGTTAACATTTCAAATTAAGTTAAAATACACATGTAGTCCTTATAGTTAACATTCATACACATTTAGTCCATGCAGTTTTTATATTTTGCGATCCCACATCAAGTACAAATATGACTAAAATAAAACTTATAAAAGTTAAGGCAATTTTCACCGACAAGATATCTTTTTAAGGTTAAGTTAGACCAAACTCAAATTTAAAATGGTGTTAGAACCTATTTTTACTAATATATTGGTCTACCTTTTACTAGAAAAAAAAATTCCATGGATTTTCTGATTCAACCTACTTGACCCCATAGCTTTCCAAGTATAATCTACCTGGTTCCACAGCTTTTTCAGTAAAATGTTAAAAAAACCAATTTAACAATCTACACACTTGAGTACAGATATGGCTAAAATAAAGTTTACAAAAGCTAAGGCAATCTTCATCTACAAGCTAGCTTTTAAGGCTGAGTTAGGCCAAACTCAAATTCAAAATGGTATTCGATTACGAACCAAACGTGGCTACAATTATAAGCTACCCTTGACTGGAAAAGAACAATTGACCCTGTGGATTTTCCGATGCAACCTATTGTTGACCCCAATAACTTTTTCCCAGTACAATCTACCTGGTTCCACAGCTTTACCGCGTAATGTAAAAAAATAAAAATAAAAAATCAACTTACAATCTCCACACTCATATGTCTAAAGCGTGGAGAGTGTGTTCATCAACAGTAACTTAACTAATAATAACATTTTTTAATGTTGTTAATGAACCAAAACCTAACAAAACATAATAATTCGTAAATGATTATGAATTATAGAGACCAAATATTCATTTTAACCTTCTATTTATGTCATTGTCAAGGGAAGTGAGATTAAATAGTAGGAAACGATAATAGGAAGTGTTAGTATGCGAATCGGTAAGTGGTATAACTGGGATACGGGTTTTGAATAGAGACAACATAAAACAATTTATTTTACCTTATATTTTCAGGAGTGTATATATGTATATATATAAACATGAAATCGTTCAACTTTGACTAGGACTATTCCGTCAAAACTCACAGTAAGCCCTTGGCATCGCTGTTAAAATTGACCGAACTAGTTTCGGTCTTTCCAGAAACTGTTGATAAGTAAAATATTGTGACAATTAAAAAGAAGAAGCTCACAGCGCAGTGTGAAGGAAATTGGGAGTACCTTTTGGACGTGAATGATGCGCTGTGTTGGTGAATCGTAAACGTCAGAATCTTGTGGAATCATCGTCACAATCACTCTCACACCACCAAGAACCTTCGCAAATTCCCATCTCTTTCTTCTTTTTATGTGTTTTATTTATTTATTGTGCTTTGAAGTTGCAGACACGACTTTTTGTTTATTTTGAATTTTAAAATTTAAAGCCCTGTGGTCATGCCACGTGGACACACCAGGGTTGATTAGCGTCTTTCACCACGTATGGCTATCTTTTTTAGCCTTAAGCATTCTCATTTCATTTGTTTAATATAAATTTGTGAATCTCTACAGTTGTCATCTATTCAAGCAATTCATCCTTCTAGTTTTATCATGGAGTGGGTAAAGCCGTGTCTATTACTGAAGATATTTCACGAATGTTAATTAATATTGATTAGTTATAAAATTAAAAATATAAATATTTCTTAACAAATATAAGAATATTTATTTTTTATGTATTTATTGGAGGTTAATAAGATTTAAAAAACATTATTAATATATTTTAACATGATTTTTACTAAAAAATTATATGTTTGAATCAATTTTTAAAGACATTAATTAGGAAGATAAAAGAAGTTTTAGCATTTATACACATTCTTTTGGGTATATATAAAATTTTGGTGATTAAAAGTTCCGAGTAAAATTATCCCATTTCGACAATAAAAGGTTACTATGTATGTCAAGATATAGGGCTTACAATGATTTTTACCAATAATTTGTTTTCAAGATTTTTGCTTTGACAAAATTCAATTTTACTTATTAACCCATTCAACAAGAATTAGGAATAAAAGTTATATTTAAATTTTCTTGTATGCCATTTTGATACAGTGGTATGTTTCACCCATTCTTTGTTATTGAATATGTTAAATGTATTGTTTTTCTTTTCTCCACCATCGTAACTTTATATCATTATGTCTTTATGAAAGTAATAATTTTTCAATTTCTTCCTTACTTAAATAAAGCTATCATCCAAAACACCACCTTCAATTCTAAATAAGCCAAATGAATACTTTATTTGTATTATTAGTTTAAGTTTTATCGATATAATACATGATTGTATAGTATAATACAACAATCCAGTTTGAATAAACTTCTAATCTATGAAAAAAAATATTTTTTTATTATATTAATTTTTTAAAACACGTTAAAAAATCTATGAGAATTTAAATATAAATTTGACACAAACTATTCTAATAATGTTAAAATAAATATGAATTTATGATCATTTAACCGGGAACCTAAGCATGCTCTAACAAAAAGTTTATATTGGAACAAAATTTCAATTGTTTTTTTTTTTTCCTTTTTTGATCTATACCTATCGTATAAATTAACTAATATTCACAAAAAAATGTTGCACAAAAAGGATCAGGAGTCCTGGGGCCTGACACTACAAGCAGACCATTTTAAATGAGTAACATACTTAAAGTGTAGTACCAATTCGTGAAACATGTCAAGAAGGCTTGACATGACATAGCTCAGATAAGCATCTAACTCCATGCCTCAATTTTCTGCTAGGAGTTCAAGGCCCAGAAACTCCTTTGTGAATGCCCACATTTCACCAAGTAAAACCAACCTAGATAACTGGCAAAAGCACTCATATGGAAAGACAAAACCAAAGAGCCCCTTGAATGTGAGTAAGTTACCATGTTATTCTGCACCAACAAAGCCATGACAGTGTCCTAAAGCCTAATGGGCAATCCAAAGTTGTGGAATGTCTTGATGGTTCCATCACAACCAGCAGTCACAATTGATAGTCCCCATGTTTCTGATACACATTTGTCATGACAAGGATCTTTGTTACATAGTTGATGGTGATCAAATTCAACTTCTGCAAGAGGTAAATCCCAGCTTGGAAGCTTCTCCTCAGGCCACGTCATAGAACCTCGGCATGTGCCATCAATGGAGAACCAACTACCGAAAGAAAACCGTTCCGACTCCCTAAGCCCATGAGCACCCTCTAATTGGTGTTGCATTTCTGAAGAACAATGAGCAAAATCATTGCCAGAGCTCCTTTGTTCTGCACTCATGCCAGACCAAGGCATTGCAACAGTAACCCCCTCAGAGCAAAAGTACTCACAAGAATACTTGGACTTCGTTTGTTTGGAAGAAGCACTTCCCAAGTCATTGAAGTTCCAAATATAAACGCGAGAGTCCTCTCCAACTGAAATTATATGTTTTCCACATGAAGTAAATGAACCAGACATCTGACTTCCGGACTTTGGAAGGCCTGCCAAAAGGAGTATAAACCAATTTAGAGTATTTCATGTAAACCAAGTATCAAGAATGTAATGTTGATGGTGGAAACAAGCTTTATCTTAAATTTATCAATGTTCCAATGAGTTTTGCAATCATATAAAAGTCACACATTAGTATAGGTAAAGTCAAAGATTAGATAAGGAACACGTACAATCCACACATAAAACCTAAAACACACCCCTAAAGATTGTAGGTAAAGCATACATACTAAATTTTAGAAAAATGGAGAGCATGAATATGTAACAGTGATCAAATATATTATTCTTAATTGGAGAAATAATGCAATGTGCATCTGGAAACAGCCAAAAAGGTAATCAAGTCATGAGGTTCCAATTAAGTAAACTATATTTGTAATCAAAGTCATGTGGAAACAGTGCCATACTGAAGTAGTTTAACTTGAACAACTTATGAGTTAACCTATCTGTGGAAAGAAAAGAAAAAAAAGATTTTCTACAGTATTTACCACGCACATTAGTTTTTGTTAGACAGATAGAGTAGGCATTAAAACTAAAGGTGATATGTTTTCCAATTTCTAGAACTATCGCTAAAGTCTAAATATAGCAGTATGCAACAGTGTAAGGGAATCAAATCAGCAGATCATACTGGCAAATCATGCAACTGTTTAAAGATATTAACTAATTCAACATTTTTGCGGCAAAACAATTGATTGCTACATATTATTTCAAGAATAAAAATTTGAGAGACATTAAAAGAAATAAAGGAGCTGGCCGGCCTATAAGGGAACCCATTACCAAGCCAAAGGTCACACCACAAAAAATATGCAAATTAAACAATCTAAATTAATATAACAACACTCCGTGATATCTCAATTAACCAGCCTCCAAATAAAAGTGACAAGTCACAGAATTAACAACTCAAAGTGAATTTTGAAAACTATCGTAATGTTCTCCCACTAACAGATCAATGTTTAGTGGTCTACCTTTAAATGTTTGAACAAGTTCATTGCCTTCCAAAATTCTAACTTTGGAGTCTTCTGATGTAATCATAACTCTTCGGTGGTTATTCTGGGAAAACTACAATGAACAAGGGTGTCCATCTGTTAAGAAAGGAAGTAATAAGAAGTATAACATTTAGCAGTGAGGATGTTTCAAGAATAATACCTGAATGCCAGTAATCTTGTTGCCAGACGTTCTCTTCTTTCCATTGACACGAATCTGCGCCTCAAGCTGGAAATGTTTGCCTAAACCATTAGAAATCCACTTTAGACACTTTATAATTCATTCTCATTTTTCCCCCACTAACAGGGAGTTCATGACTATATTAATTAGTGACCCACAAGTTGATACCTGAGGCAACATAAAATCGGCAAGTGCCAGTGAGGGAACCAACAACAAACCCCTGCATGAGCAAATAGCTATAGGTTCAATATCTAATAGAGAAACGTTTCAATAATTGTGATTAGTAAAAGGACATACAAAATCACAGTGATTCAGTCAAACATTCACAACATACTTTTCCATCTGGTTGGTATCTTATAGCACTTATCACATCTCGTACGTATGCCCAGTCAACAACTCGCTCTTCATGTATTCCCCATATTCGGACTTTACCATCTATGGAGCCACTGATGAAGTAATTTTCGTCAATGGGGTTGAACTGAATACAAGTGACTGTTTCCAATGAAAACAAGACACAATAATGATTATACTTGTCGGATAAAGAGATGCTCATATTACTCATAGCAAATTATGAAAATGAACAAAGCATACATTGTAAATAATACTTACCGTAGTCTTTGTGATGGAAAACTCTTAGACATTGATTGCAACCAATTTTCCACAAGCGAACAGTTTTATCCATAGAAGACGAAAGGAGAGTCTGCAATAGATACCTTAGATCAGATTTAATAGAAGTTGCAAACAGAGAAAATATAAATTACAGCAGAAATGGGTGTAAGAAAAAACAAGCTTCTACAAGTTTAACTCACATCTGAATTAGACCAAGCCAAATCCAAGACATCACTGGAGTGACCATAAAATTCTTGCAAGGGCGATTCCTCAATGTTGGAAATCTTATTTGGAAGAGCAATGAAGGATTGACTCGAGGGTTTCTTCCGAGAACAAGAGATGTCATGTTTCGCTCTGCTAACAGCACTGTCTTCTGCAGTGAAGCTAATACTAGATGTACTCAGTGATGTCACACGCCATATGCGTATAACACCATCTTCACCTCCACTAGCTAGATAATGGCCATTGGGACTGAATTTCATAGTCCAAATTAGGCCTTTGTGCGCTCTAATCTCTTGTCCAATATACAGTGCACTGAACTCCATCCAACTCTTCTTATTCAGCCTTACATTTACTCTGCAAGTTTTATTCTTCCCTGAATTGAATTTTGATCTGATTTTCCTTCCGTCTCCTTTCCTGTTGTTTATAAAGTGCTTCCACCAGCTTTTCTTTTCCTTTTTACCCATATCAAAATGTTGAAATTCTTCTAGAGCCTCAGCTGATCCATGTCTGAGCTCTTGATCTGTACAAGAAACCTCATAAACCTTCCCTTCTGGTTTATCATCAAAGCACCCTTTCGATTCATCAAACAAGACTTGTGCTTCCGAAGTTGCTTCCCTTCCTGAGAGAATCAATTCCTCAGGAACTTGTTGATCAGGCAAACTACAATCATTTGAGATAGCTCCACTGCAATCTCTGATCCTCTCTAGTCCCAAACTCACTGATGAGGCATCACAACTCATCATCTTCTCTTGAGAACGAACATCAGAACAAGAAGCACAAGCCAGTCCCATACCCAGCAAAAATCTTTCCCTCCTTTCCTTCACACTGAGAGGCTCATTCACCCAAATCTCATAGCCAAACTCTTGTTCTGTCAAAAAAGACTCTTGGGTTGGTGACAAGCAATCCAACGAGTCAAAAAACACATCATTATCTCCTTCATCAGAGATCAGCATATCTTGTACTCAAACACAAACGTCCCACATGAAAAAAAAAATTGTCACTTCCAACCCTTCCCTTTACTACCAAATTCCCTTCTTTGCAACCCACCTTAAATACCAACTTGAACCCCAAAATCAACGGACCGAGTTTCTCTCACTGATTGAACACAACTCAACTGAATATAAAATGTCACCACCAGAAGCAGGGACCAAGTACGAGGAACCACTCACCAGCTCCACATAACAACCAATGACAACACTTGTTTGCATGTTCGAAACCCTCACCAGGATCCCAATACTTAAAAAAAATAAGAACAATAAATAAATTATTCCCCACACCCCGATAACACTAAAGAATAATATAACAAAATTAAAAACCACAACCGAGAAGAAACACAACAAGAAGCCAAGACCTTTGGAGTTGAAACACTACACCCGTCTTGAAAACCAAGCAACATCACCAAAATTCAACATAACCACCGACCCTCCAGTTATGGTGGCCACAGAAACAAGTCAAGGGTCACATAAAACAAGACCCTCCAATCCAAGTGCAGTGAACCCAACCCAAAGAACAGAGGTGGCACGGTTCAAGACATGAGAGAAACTGGCGGAGGAAGGAAAGTGGTGTCACCCAGAAAACAAACCAGCTAAGTCACCTCGAGATTGAAGACAACAACTGCAAGACGCGCACGCACGAGCGACAAACACGAGCGGCGCGGCCCAGTAAACAAGACGCTACTGTTCTCTGCACTCTGCAACAACAACCACTCTACACCTTCATGCTTTGTTGTAATCCCCACCTATTATCTCTCTCTTTCATTATCTGTCATAACTAACCACAAAGAAAGAGAGAGAAAGTGAGAGAGAGAATCTCAGCATCAGGGTCATTATTAGTTTAGTTTAATTAATCATCAAATAGTGACACAAGTTTAACATCGAGCTTATTATATATATTGCATTAAAAGTGAAGAGACAAAAAGTACAGAATTTTTAAAAGCATTTCACTTTCGAGGATACATGAAAAGAATATGCCTACATCAAGCATAAGTGTTGTGACAACGCTGAACCAGAACCACAGATCCATATTCAGACTATTCAACCAAAACAGCAACTCCATGATCTTTTCATTATGCAAAATGATTCTTCTTTTTTCTTCTTTTAATACTCCCCTCTTAGCATGGAAGGCAACAAATAATAGGGCGTGCCAAGAATTAAAAAGTGGTGTTAATGATAGTATTAATTAATTAATTAAAACCCGTACAGCTAGATAATTCCATGATTGATGATTGGTAGCAAGCATTGTTTTTAAGGGTCATTAATGTTTAATGGCTATTACAGCACCGATAATCCTCAAGATAAAAGTTTGAGAAGCAAAAATGGTGTAGTTGTAGTAGTAGTACTAGAAGTGGTAGGCACAAGCAGTACTGGAGCTATGGAAGTGCACTTTTAGTCTTGCTAGAGAAAGCGATGACTCGAAACTCTCAAGGCCTAAGAGAGGTAGGTGTCTACTTAGAACCCCCATAGGGGTTCCTATTACAGCAAAACATTACTATAACACCGACTCTCTTCCTCTGCAATGCAGTTCAGATTTTAATTTCTTGGGCTCCGTGTAATGTTTTTGCTTGTGCCATTAATGAAGGGTTGTTGGTCTCGTTGCAAGATGTGTTACGCTCTCATCTGCTATGGCTTTGTTGCTCTCTTATAGACTTAGTTGGCATTTTAATTCAATCACAGATTAGAAAGGATACATCTTCTTGTGCACATCAGAAAAGGGTCTCACTTAACAAGGGACAAACCTAAAGCTTTTATATGCATATACAATTATACATATACGGTCTAATTGATATATCTGTAATAATTTTTTTTATCAAAAACTATGAGATTTAATTTTTTAATAATACTAACTGTTATGAAATTTAATAAAAATTTGTCTATTATTATTATATATACCTTGGCTTCCTATGCCAATGACATGGAAAGGACCTTTCTCTATTACTACTTTCTATCACCTCGAGCTATCAGTTCTCTGAAAGCCAATCCCGAATTACACCTCTTTCTGCACAAGGGGTTTCAGGGAAAAAAGAAACTTCTTTGAAACTGGGCTTGTCTTTTTGGGTGGATTTTTGAGCAACAAGCCAGAACAAGAAACTCACGTGATTGAGTTGAAACAACTGAGATAGAGGGAGGACCCATCATCCATTGAAGCCTTGGAAGAGCTTGTTCTCACGGTATGTGTTATTTAAAAGAGTATAATAGTCATTGGAAGGACCTAAGGAGAGTGTGGCCATGCAATCAATAGTTTCTTTGTGTGAGAATTTTGAACCACTCTCTGTAAGAGAAGGGGAAGGCAAAATAGAACGGAAGAGGGCATGACATGCATTTTAGGAGAGAAAAATATGTGAAAAAAATAAAAATAAAAACATAAATGATAAGATGGATCATAGTATACATCATTATCACCACTTAGCATCCTTCGAAGCTTCCAAAACCTCCCTCCACTGTCACCCGCTTTCACTCACCCAATTTACACCCGTTGATTTTAGATTTTTCCTTGTCATCTGATTGCGGGTAGAGTTTAATTCGAAAAAGTGCTTTCAGAGTAATATGGAATATTTTATAATTTAATTGTAAAATACATACACTGTACTCATTAAATTAGATTCTCACGTAATTAAGAGTCACATAAATATAAATTTTTTTAAGTAAACACACAAATCTTAAAATAATATAATTTTAAGTAAATAAATTTGACAATGTACTGTTGATAAGGTATATATACGACCATTTAATCACTTTGAATTAAGAAGTTAATTAGTTTAACTAGTATGATTAAATTTATTAATAATTTATATATTTTTTAAAAAATTATTTTAATTTTTATCTAATTCATTAATGTAAATGAGAAATGCAGTTACAACCAACTATCTTTTTTTATTCTCAAGAGAAAGATAAAAATTCACAAATAAGTGTATGACAATTAATTAAACATCTTTATGTAAAAATTTAATACAACAGAAAATTTTAAAAAAAAAAAACTTCTTGAAAATTCTTATAAAAAGTATGAGAATAAATTTGTCTGAGAAACATGATGGACCATGGTAGGTGTATGGCACTAATAAGTGGGGAGCCACTCCCACGGAGTGTACGGTGAGAAGCCCCTTTCAATTCTTAAAATTTGCTTCATTACATTATCTGTTTCATGTTATCCCAAACCAAACCGCACAAGCACTGCTCGCTGTAATATAATGGATGTTTCAGACTCTTGCACTCGTGTATTGCTTCAAGCCAAGTTGTTATACTTGTGCTATCATGTGCCCATAATAATTAAATTGTATTAATACATATAAAAATATAACGAAATATATGTTGTAAAGTCTGACACATATCTCTCAATTATATGTCTGTAAAACAAGGATACATTATACGTATGCGAATCATTCAGATGCTCTATCGGCTACTTTATGTAACGCAATTCAACGAAAATTTAAAAAGAATGTGTATCAATAATTGAAGATAATCTGCAATCAATCTTCCCTACCATTTACACCACCTTTTAACTGTGGTTGTTAATACATTTCTTATAAATAAATACAAGTTACGTGGATTTCTTAGTATTATTGATATATATGCCGTGTTACTTTTTATTCTTAATTTTCAGAAAAATTAACACAAATTATGAGAGTAATGAGGAAGGTTTGAAGGATTGGGAGAACCCAAATGAAGCATAGTGGAAAAATGGCTGAACCCAGAATCAAAACTAACATAGCCGCCATTATCGAGTTCCAGGTTACAATTTGGTGCAAAGACAAGATATGTGAGAATTCTCACATGCATGCTCCATGCTTTTATTCTGAGTGACAACACGAGAAGCCATGTTTACCAAAATCCACGTCGCATTTACAAATCAGAAAACAAAAAATTCAGCTTACTATTACAGATTTGATACTACAAGGACACCTTTTGGTATCATTAAAATGACCCTTATTGTCCTAGCATATAAATATATGTATATACATATATAGGATCTTGATTTTCATGTGGATTTTAATTTACACAAAAAGTAAAATGGATTATCGAATTCTACCTGTCATGCCAGTTGGTCAACAATTTCAATCGCAGATCAAGCATTGCATACCATGGAGCAGTATCATTTTTAAATTATTAGGCGTTTGCAAATGCCAATCATGACATTTGATTTCGCTACTATCTTAAGTCACATTCACTTTCTTATTTGCTTTACAATAATGCTTCCTAAATATCACAAAGCATACGGGGGGGAAAAATCAGAGGAAAAGATGAGGATGAAAACAAGATAGGTGATATCGCTCCAGAACATAGTGGGTTGCACTTTTAGAGATTTATTTTCTATATTTGCTTTTATCCCAGAAAACAATGAAGAATCAACACATCAAATGCAACAGAAAGGAGACATATTGAAAACAGACACAGGAAACGCAATAGGGTATATGAAATTGACAGAAATAATAAAGTTTTCCAAAAGCTAGAGGAAGCTTCATACATTAATTCATTCATATTCATGAAGCACAGAAAAAGAGAAGGAAATAAAAAGCATAATTAATTAAGAACAAGAAATAGTAAGAGAGTTGAGCAGTGTAGTTAGCATTAAGTCACTAACCTCTGGGGACCCAGCACTCGTGCCTCTTCAATCCCTTTGCAGTGAGCAAATTGCAATCAAAGACACACAATGCAAAGCAGTTTCATAATTGATGTCTTTTTATATATAGTAATGTACTGTCGATATATATATATAATTGTGTTTGCAATTGATAGAATGAGCAAGGCTAGTTTGGTTTTTTCATTCTCACCACATATTGAAGAATATTGAGGGGAAAAAATGGAATAAAATAATTATGGTGACATTAAATTAATGAGGAAAATGTGAAGGGGACGGAGTCTGATAGAGTGATATGGTTCCAGCATCCCTAGTGGTTAGGGACAAATCTCTTCTTAATCTTCTCTCGATTTCTTCTCATTTAAAACGGAAAAGTTCTATACTAACCCCATTTTTATAATCCCCAGCCCTATGGACCATCCTACTATGAGTTAAAAATTAAAGAGAAGAAAAATTCATTTGTTTTAGCAAGTGAGTGTCTATAATTGTTTGCATTAAGTACTCAAACATTGTATATTAATATATATGTTATATTCTATTATCTAAAAAATCAAATATTTAGTTAAGTTATATTGCGAGTACATTTCAAGATTGAAATTAATTAAAAATATTCATTTTTTTCAGTATAATGGTTTTGTTTTTTTACTCACATCTATATTCATTTTATTCTAAATTTTAAAGATGAAAGTTAATACTTAACTTTTCTTCATAATTTTATATAACTTTTTAAAATTTTGAGATTATTTATGTTTATATTTATAAAATTTATAATACTTAATATTTATTTTTCATACTTTCTGTCCAAATTTTCAGTAGTTAAATATCTATGATTTCATGCAAAACAGCATATTTTCTCTATTAGAAATTGCAAAATTATTTCCATATTTTTCCTCTCAAAATTTGTATTATTCTCAAATACTCTTTCACAATCATTTTCTTAAGTTAATTATAACAATGTTATTTTTAACGTTAAGGTGCTTTTGCATGTGCTTTTTTTTTCACATTTATATCCTTTTTAAAACAACACTACACATGAAAATTATACTTTCATTGAAATATACACCATAATTGATGAGTGCATTATATTTGATTTGATTGGTTATATAATTATACAAAATACTTAATTTTTATACCTTTCACTATTTATAATATAT